GTATACTAGTCTATTTGTGGCTGATGGGGGTCGAGTCTCAGCTCCTGGCATCCACAATTCAACAACTCAGGAACAAATCACACTCCATTCCTGGTCTCAACGGCCCTATTAAAATACTCTTAAACCTGGGTATGAATTCTGCTCCCGCCAAGTCCAAATCTAGATCTTTCTTCACAGTAACAAGCACGTTGGTTAGGTTGTAGATGTAGACGTGGTTGTAGACGTGTGTCTGAGCGTGGAGTGTGGCTAAAAAAGTTCTTTCTGACGTCTCAGTGACTCGTATCACTGACTTCATATACACTCCATGTCTCAAGGTTCTTCTACCTTCAAACATCGTGTTTACGTCTGCCTGTCTAATCCTCGGAGCTTCATGTGCTTGTTATCGTGTCTTCCCTAGTTGTCCTCTCTTACGGTGTTATATGGTTTATCTTTTTCTCACTCTTCGAGAGACATTTCTCTTTGCTAGGGGACCAGTCCCGTAGGGAATCTTAGGATTTTCTTTAGGTAAAAGTTAAATGCCGATGCAGAGACTACGATACGTCCGACATACCTAACATGCTGTATTGTGCCTGAGATACCGTTCGTTAGGCACACACACACACACACACACACACACACACACACACACACAGGGGACACAGAAACAAGAGGCCACAATTGGAAGTTGAAGACACAAATGAGTCAGAGAGATATTAGGAAGTATTTCTTCAGTCATAGAGTTGTAAGGCAGTGGAATAGCCTAGAAAAAGACGTAGTGGAGGCAGGAACCATACACAGTTTTAAGACGAGGTTTGATAAAGCTCATGGAGCGGGGAGAGAGAGGGCCCAGTAGCATCCGGTGAAGAGGCGGGGCCAGGAGCTAAGACTCGACCCCTGCAACCACAAATAGGTGAGTACACACACACACACACACACACACACACACACACACACACACACACACACACACACACACACATCTGTTTTGTACATCCCTCTAGATTTTCATCGCTGCAAAATTGGATAGATTTTTCTCTATTTCCTCCGAAACAATCCCCAGATGAACAAACAACCTCACCCAGTATTCCCCCAGTCTCACTAACAACATCCAGACCCCACACATACCTCCTCACAAGCCAAAACAAAAGTCACCTGATATCACTCTTCAACATTTTTGGGGGAAACTTCTCTAAGTGGAATTAAAAAAAAATGCACGTAAAATACACATTACAGAGGAATAAGATTTTTTCTTCCAAGACATTTTTATATGAAGATTTCAGCCGGTATTTACCTCTGGTTGTACCTGTGTAGCCGAGAGTGTGTAGATGTGCTGAGTGTACCTGTGTAACCCAGAGTGTGTAGATGTGCTGAGTGTGCCTGTGTAGCCCAGAGTGTGTAGATGTGCTGAGTGTACCTGTGTAGCCCAGAGTGTGTAGATGTGCTGAGTGTACCTGTGTAGCCCAGAGTGTGTAGATGTGCTGAGTGTGCATGTGTAGCCCAGAGTGTTTTAGATGTGCTGAGTGTGCATGTGTAGCCCCGGTGTGGTAAAATGTGCTGAGTGTACCTGTGTAACCCAGAGTGTGTAGATGTGCTGAGTGTGCCTGTGTAGCCCAGAGTGTGTAGATGTGCTGAGTGTACCTGTGTAGCCCAGAGTGTGTAGATGTGCTGAGTGTACCTGTGTAACCCAGAGTGTGTAGATGTGCTGAGTGTGCCTGTGTAGCCCAGAGTGTGTAGATGTGCTGAGTGTACTGTGTAGCCCAGATGTGTGTAGATGTGCTGAGTGTACCTGTGTAGCCCAGAGTGTGTAGATGTGCTGAGTGTGCATGTGTAGCCCAGAGTGTGTAGATGTGCTGAGTGTGCATGTGTAGCCCAGAGTGTGTAGATGTGCTGAGTGTGCCTGTGTAGCCCAGAGTGTGTAGATGTGCTGAGTGTACCTGTGTAGCCCAAGTTGTAGATGTGCTGAGTGTACCCGTGTAACCCAGAGTGTGTAGATGTGCTGGTGTGCCTGTGTAGCCAGAGTTTTGTAGATGTTTCTGAGTGTACCTGTGTAGCCCAGAGTGTGTAGATGTGCTGAGTGTACCTGTGTAGCCCAGAGTGTGTAGATGTGCTGAGTGTGCATGTGTAGCCCAGAGTGTGTAGATGTGCTGAGTGTATCTGTGTAGCCCAGAGTGTGTAGATGTGCTGAGTGTGCCTGTGTATCCCAGAGTGTGTAGATGTGCTGAGTGTACCTGTGTAGCCCAGAGTATGTGGATGTGGGGGAGCCCTAGGCAGGCTCAGTAACGTGGGTAGCAAAATTATGTGTTCCACCCGCTCAGTTGCCCACCAGCCCACCTGCTTGCAATCCCACCAGCCCACCCATCTGTCTACTTGCCTACTCGCCCACCTGCCGGCCTTACCATTGCCTACCAATTTACGTAACCAAGTGCTTACCTACTGGCTTGCAAACCTGTCTACCTGCCCACCTTCTTACCTGCTTACCTGGTTACTTTCCTGCTTGCCCGCCTCATTACCTGCTTCTCTGCGAGCACACATAGCCACCTGCCAATTACTTAAGTTATCACCTTGTTCACCTATTTTGCCTCCCACCACCTCTGCCTCCCCACCTATCGCCTTCTCGACCTCCAACACCTCCACACCTAAATCCCATCCCACTCCACAGCCTGATTACTTACCTACCTCCACACTTCCACTGCATCTCGGTCTCTCTACCTGCTCAATTGTCCACCAGATTATATCTATAATGATTCTTAGCTGCGGGGTGGATGTCGTCTAGTATATTTTGAAACATAGGGGGTGATAGGGGTGAAACAGAGAGAATGGTGGCGAGGCAAATAGAAGAATATTGGTAATTGTTCCGATCACAGGTTTAGTCAATTGGCCTGCACACCTGGCTGTAGCATGATGACCACTGAGGAAGTAACAAAAAGGCAGCATAGAGTAAATATTTGTATTTCCATCACCAAATAGTAATCAGGTAGGTACAATATATATACAACCTATGTACAGTGTATACAGCTATGCACAATAAGGCAACTGCAAGCAAGAGACACGATGAGAATTGTAGTGATAAGACTTGAAGGTACGTCTGCCAAGGATGATTTACAAGTGCGCCACATCGCTTCACAACTGTGACAGGCTCCCTTGTGATTGGCTGGTTGAACCAAGGAGCCCTCGTTATACTCTTAGCATCTGGTTCGCTGGTCGGGAGGCATGTCTATATGAGTGTGCGACGTACGCCGAATAAAATGGAACACACTCTTAGCATGCTACAGTGAAACAGAAAAGAGAAATGCTGTGACAAGTTTAAGACGAGTAAAGGAAGACGGGTTGCATTTCAAAATGATCTGGGAGAGGTGAAGGGAGGAGTGTGGGGAAATTACGAAGGCAGAGAGCGGTTAGAGGAGATGGAATGGCAGGTCAGAGCTAGAAGAGATAGGGAAGGAGGGAAGGAAGAAAGGGAGGCAGGTGATAGGGATGACTGGGCAGACAAGTGAAGGAAAAACAGATTGAACAATTTTACCTTGGCTTTCCTGATTTTTGGCTTCTAGTCTTGTATCCGGGTGAATGTAGCGTGATCTTATCTGCCTGACCACCGACTGCTGCAGTCTTGACTTACACACATACACTTACTTACATACATACATACATACATACAAGAGCAGCCACTGTGCAATCATAGAGTTCAAGGTGGCGGAAAACACCAGTTGTTCTTAAGATGGTTTAATCAATTTGATATCAAAGTTGCAGTGAAAAAAATCAGGATTGTAAGTAATAACGTAAATAAGATATATCAGTCATATTTTATACAGAGAAAATTTAGAGGCAACATGAGAATAACAATAAAAATATCAAACGAGGAGAGCAGATAATGACCCACAGCATACATGACTAACAGAGACGACTGTGTGTTAGGAAGACCTCAAATTATCTTGCTGAAATCAGCGGCGGCCGTCACAAGATTATGTTTACTCAGATCTTCGTCAACAGTGACGTTGGATACGAGGAGCCTCTGACCTCTGGAAGTTCTAAAGTTATCGACTATTTTTAAAATAAATACTTTGCCACATTTGTTAAATAACAGTGGAACATAGGTTCTTGTAACTTGGAGCTCCCCTTTCACCAAGGAAACACACTCCTCTTCAGTGAAACAGTCTTTTCTTACTTGTTCTTCTCTTGCATCTAAGGGACAGACACGCTCCTCTTCGAAGCGTGTCTGTTCCCTAGGGCATGTCAAGATAAACTTTAGCCTCTAGGACTAAAGTTTATCTTGACATGCCGTTTAAGGTTAGATGCCATTTTTCGACAACTTTTGAGATACTGTCTGGGAGGTGTCGTCTAGATCAGCACTCTGTCGACTTCGAGGTTCCTTTTAGTACAACACTATCCTCCTGGATCCAGTCTATTGTCTTGGGTTGCTGTCTAGTACCAGTCTGTCGTGTTGTGTTGTCGTCTAAGCTCGGGTGATACAAGAGACATTAACTATCTGGATTTCCTAGGAGAATGTCGTGCAATTCATTCTGAAGATAATTTGCATACGCGCTTATCTCTGCTGCGCTGCGGGGACACCATCTGCCAGCATCTCTGTCCTCGTAAAGGAGAGCTGAACATCAGCTTCCAGATGACCCACCTGCAACATCCTTAACCTCGCTTAGTTACCATGGCAGCAGTGAATTATTTCATCGGTAGGAGTTATACATCGTCTTGGGGAATCGGAAGAAAGGGGAAGGGTTATCAGAATGGAGACCAAGGAAGAAGAGGTTAGGTGTTTTTCCTTAAATCAAGATCCCTTCACCAATGTCAAGATAAGTCCCTCGAGAGGTAGCAACAGTGAAGGCACTGCTGCTCCCTGTTGCTGGGGTCTGTTAACCTTTAAGTTCAGATTGAATCTCTCTTCAGATATGTATATATATATATATATATATATATATATATATATATATATATATATATATATATATATATATATATATATATATATATATATATATATATTATATAACGTTCGCCTTTGCACTCCACAGCAGCGGCATCATTACCATACGTCAGAATTGAAGCTGAACCAGCGGGTAACCCTCCTCAGCGAACTGCGGCTGTTCCAGCAGACCATGACCCGCCTCCAAGGATTGAGCTGCGGCCATTGTCCCCCGAGGAGTTGCGGTCCCAGGGCGCGGACCGCACCGAGGCCCCTAATGCCTGCTGGCACCGCCTCTCCAGGTAGGTTCTCGGTCCCCCGGTAACCTGGCAGTGCCTCTCCAGGTATGCTCTAGGTCATCCCTTCTCTAGTATTCCACGTTCTCTTCTAGCTTTCTAAAAAGAGGAATGCTGTTAGATTCCTTTCTAAATCAATGGAAATATAGATGTTATCAAAGAGAAACTAAAATGGATATATTTTTAATATACTTGATAAATTTATAGAAAGTGAATGTATCATAAATTATAAATAAGTGAATCTTGACTGAGTTAACGAGCGGAAGCATCTCTCAGTGTGTGTACACTGAGAGATGAGCATCTCTCAGTGTGTGTACACTGAGAGATGAGCATCTCTCAGTGTGTGTACACGAGAGATAGCATCTCTCAGTGTGTGTACATGAGAGATAACATCTCTCAGTGTGTGCACACTGAGAGATGAGCATCTCTCAGTGTGTGTACACTGAGAGATAAGCATCTCTCAGTGTGTGTACACTGAGAGATGAGCATCTCTCAGTGTGTGTACACTGAGAGATGAGCATCTCTCAGTGTGTGTACACTGAGAGATGAGCATCTCTCAGTGTGTGTACACTGAGAGATAGCATCTCTCAGTGTGTGTACACTGAGAGATGAGCATCTCTCAGTGTGTGTACACTGAGAGATGAGCATCTCTCAGTGTATGTACACAGAGAGATGAGCGTCTCTCAGTGTATGTACACTGAGAGATGAGTATCTCTCAGTGTATGTACACTGAGAGATGAGTATCTCTCAGTGTATGTACACTGAGAGATGAGCATCTCTCAGTGTGTGTACACTGACAGATGAGCATCTCTCAGTGTGTGTACACTGAGAGATGAGCATCTCTCAGTGTGTGCACACTGAGAGATGAGCATCTCTCAGGTGTGTACACTGAGAGATGAGCATCTCTCAGTGTGTGTACACTGAGAGATGAGCATCTCTCAGTGTGTGTACACTGAGAGATGAGCATCTCTCAGTGTATGTATACTGAGAGATGAGCATCTCTCAGTGTATGTACACTGAGAGATGAGCATCTCTCAGTGTGTGTACACTGAGAGATGAGCATCTCTCAGTGTGTGTACATGAGAGATGAGCATCTCTCAGTGTATGTACACTGAGAGATGAGCATCTCTCAGTGTGTGTACACTGATAGATGAGCATCTCTCAGTGTGTGTACACTGAGAGATGAGCATCTCTCAGTGTGCGTACACTGAGAGATGAGCATCTCTCAGTGTGTGTACACTGAGAGATGAGCATCTCTCAGTGTGCGTACACTGAGAGATGAGCATCTCTCAGTGGTTACACTGAGAGATAGCATCTCTCAGTGTTATGTACACTGAGAGATGAGCATCTCTCAGTGTGTGTACACTGAGGATGAGCATCTCTCAGTGTGCGTACACTGGAGATGAGCATCTCTCAGTGTGTGTACACTGAGAGATGAGCATCTCTCAGCGTGTGTATAAATGAGAGATGAGCTATCTTCTCAGTGTGTTTTACACTGAGAGATGAGCATCTCTCAGCGTGTGTATACTGAGAGATGAGCGTCTCTCAGCGTGTGTACACTGAGAGATGAGCATCTCTCAGTGTGTGTACACTGAGAGATGAGCGTCTCTCAGTGTGTGTACACTGAGAATGAGCATATCTCAGTGTGTGTACCTGAGAGATGAGCATCTCTCAGTGTGTGTACACGAGAGATGAGCATCTCTCATGTATGTCACTGAGAGATGAGCATCTCTCATGTGTGTACACTGAGAGATGAGCATCTCTTAGTGTATGTACACTGAGAGATGAGCATCTCTCAGTGTGTGTACACTGATAGATGAGCATCTCTCAGCGTGTGTTACTGAGAGATGAGCATCTCTCAGTGTGTGTACACTGAGAGATGAGCATCTCTCAGTGTGTGTCACTGAGAGATGACGTCTCTCAGTGTGTGTACACTGAGAGATGAGCATCTCTCAGTGTGTGTACACTGAGAGATGAGCAATCTCAGTGTGCGTACACTGAGAGATAAGCATCTCTCGTGTGTGTACACGTGAGAGATGAGCATCTCTCAGTGTGTGTACACTGAGAGATGAGCATCTCTCAGTGTATGTACACTGAGAGATGAGCATCTCTCAGTGTGTGTACACTGAGAGATGACATCTCTCAGTGTGTGTACACTGAGAGATGAGCATCTCTCAGTGTGTGTACACTGAGAGATGAGCATCTCTCAGAGTATGTACACTGAGAGATGAGCATCTCTCAGTGTACGTACACTGAGAGATGAGCATCTCTCAGTGTACGTACACTGAGAGATAGCATCCTCAGTGTATGTACACTGAGAGATGAGCATCTCTCAGTGTGTGTACACTGAGAGATGAGCATCTCTCAGTGTGGTACACTGAGAGATGAGCATCTCTCAGTGTGTGTACACTGAGAGATGAGCATCTCTCAGCGTGTGTATACTGAGAGATGACATCTCTCATGTGTGTACACTGAGAGATGGCATCTCTCACGTGTGTATACTGAGAGATGTGCGACTCTCAGCGTGTGTACACTGAGAGATGAGCATCTCTCAGTGTGGTACACTGAGATGAGCGTCTCTCAGCGTGTGTACACTGAGAGATGAGCATATCTCAATGTGTGTACACTGAGAGATGAGCATCTCTCAGTGTGTGTACACGAGAGATGAGCATCTCTCAGTGTATGTATACGAGAGATGAGCATCTCTCAGTGTGTGTACACTGAGAGATGAGCATCCTCTTAGTGTATGTACACTGAGAGATGAGCATCTCTCAGTGTGTGTACACTGATAGATGAGCATCTCTCAGCGTGTGTATACTGAGAGATGAGCATCTCTCAGTTTGTGTACACTGAGAGATGAGCATCTCTCAGTGTGTGTACACTGAGAGATGAGCGTCTCTCAGTGTGTGTACACTGAGAGATGAGCATCTCTCAGTGTGTGTACACTGAGAGATGAGCGTCTCTCAGTGTGTGTACACTGAGAGATGAGCATCTCTCAGTGTGTGTACACTGAGAGATGAGCGTCTCTCAGTGTGTGTACACTGAGAGATGAACATCTCTCACAATGTATATACGCTGAAAAATACTCACCAAACAGTGTATATACACTGAAAAATACATAGCACTCTGGGTTATATACACTGCAATACTCTCAGTCTTCGGTGTGAATGTCCTGTGTATTGTACCTGTCTCAAGTACAAATGAAATTATCATATAAAATAATTTCTGTCGTTTATAATTACGTTTAATATTTATTTTTATATTTACGATCAATATAACTGTGCAACGAAATTATTATTAAATATAATTTCAGACCTGTCAACCAAAATTTGCCGTTTTTCTCTCTGCTCTTAATTATTTGCGGTCAAGGAATCACATACCGTTTTTTTCCTCCTCTTGGCTCAATCGACTACGCCCATCATTAATCTTGCTGTTTCCTCCACGCTTACCACCCACGCCAGCACTCTGGGTGAGTGTCGACCTCACAGGGAGTGCTACCCATTGCTGCGTCTGCCCACCATCTCGCCCCAGGACTCGTGGCTCTTCGGAATCTACGACACCTGCCCTCTCAACTACCAGGGAAGTCTGGTAAGTCTCCTCACCACCTCTCTTGTTTCTCATTGCATGTTTTAACTATGGTTAAAACATGGTTTTAACTATGGTTAAAACATGGTTTCAACTATGGTTTAAAACATAGTTTTAACTATGGTTTAAAACATAGTTTTAACTATGGTTAAAACATGGTTTTAATTGTGATGAAAACATGATTTTAATTATTGTTAAAACATGGTATTAGCAATGCTGTGCACTTGACAGATTCACTGGAAAAATATTTATACAATTATTTATTATTATAGTTATTTTTTTATTACTCCTGGGGAAGTGCATAAGGGTCGTACATAGCATGAGAATTTGATCCAAGGAAGCAGATGGCTTCTTCATTTCCACGGATGTAGAGCCCTTCTACGGTCTCCCGGCACGTCACCTCGGACACTTTGTTTGACCTTTGAAATCGTTCTTAGATGTTCCCTCCTTGCAGGTGTTTGGGATCTGTTGTGAGAAAAGTAAGGATACCGCCAACGAAGCCTCTGACGTATCTAACGAGGTCAGGTCGGCAGGACCAGAAGTGAACCGGGAGCCGGAAGTGAATCGGTACATGGCGGCGGAGGCGGAGGGTCCGGGACTGATGGACCGAAGCCACGTGCAGTTCGTACCTCCGCGGGACACCAATGCTGTCACTGCGGTGCCTTCCCTCAGGCTCCCATGGAACCACTTAGGACTCACCCACCCGCCTTTCATCACCCACCCGCCCGAACACACCAACAAACCCTGGTGGGTCTCTCATGGGGTCACCACTCCAAGTACAACCACTCCCAGTGACCACTGGTTTAACCCCCCTGAATACCCTACGACAACGCCTCGAACCTGGTGGACAACGACTCCCAGATCCACGACTCCCAGATCCACGACTCCCAGATTCACGACCCGCAGAACTACGACCAATCATTGGTGGACGACCCCCAGTCATCCTCCTACGACTACGAAACCGTGGTGGGACTGGCCACCAGCTGACGATACCATCGGTGCTCGTAAGTCATACTTCGATTCCTCGCTGGAGGTACTTCGACGTCGGTGAAGAACCCTCGACCCTTGGAACGAGACTTATTCTCCTCTTCCTCTCATCGAACCTCAGTTCCCTCTAATTCCGCAAGACTCGCCTTTTTTTCCATGACAAAATGCGTCCTTGATTTTTTTTCCTAGTTAACGGGCGTCTATTTCTATGTTCTATTTTCTTATACTCTCTTAAATTTTATTACTAGTCCCTTAAAGCCTGATAATATTCTCTTTTGGTTATGTTCTTCTAAGGATTATTTATACTCAAAGACTAATGTAAGTCAATGATAGTCTCTTATTTATTTCTGAAAATCTAGTTCAGGTCCCTAAAATTGTAGTTCTGTCCCCTGAAAATTGAGTTTTAGTTCCTGAAAGACTAGCTCGCCTCCTTGTGCTAATTCTTAAAAGTTTAGCTCTAGTTCATGAAAATCTAGTTCTAGTTTCTAACAACAGTGTTCTAGATTCTGAAAATCTAGTTCTAGTCTCTAAAAATCTACATGTGGTCCCTGAAAGTCTAGCGGTGAGAGTAGCCACTCTCATTGCTAAGGTCCAGGTAACAAACCCTGGAGATTAACATAAAACAAATTCCTTGAAATCTAGCTCTAGTATCTGAAGGGCTAAATCGCCCCTGAAGGATTTGTTCTATTTCCTTAAATTCCTTAAAAAAAATGACAGCCTCTTTCCATTCCACGGAATTTTAATACAAGACAAATTTCAGCCGCTGAAAGTTTGGTTCTACTCCCTGAAACTAGCAAAAGTTCCCTAAAGTCATTTTTCAAGACCCTGAAATACTGAGTTAAATCGCTGGAAGTCTAGTTCCAGGCCCTGAAAAGTACCCGACTCCCTTTTATTTACATCTCTGAAAATCTGATTCAAGTCTCTGAGAGACCAGCTGTCGTCTCTTATATTTTTAATTCGTCAAATAGCAAAATTATGTTCAGAAATTCACCCCCATTCTCATAAAATAACATTACTCTTTCATTGTTATTTTGATTATTAGTTTCTTAGGTTCAAGTTTTTATCAAGTTAGATTCCCTTTATAGACATTTATTGGCTCATATAGTTGAATTTTCAAATTATTTTTTATTATATTCGTTTGTAGCTATTATTATTATCATCAATATTATCCGACTTCTCACTACTCTCCCCTAACCAGCTGCTCCGCCTGACTCAGACGTAATCACTCAGCCACCTGTGCCAACTGCGCCCTCTGACCTCAACGAAGTGGAGAAGGATCCCTGCACCCCTGGTACCTTCTACAACGCCGCTCCTGACGAAGGCTTCAGAATCAGCGGAGGTCAGCCAGCCACCGCTCACTCGCACCCTTGGATAGTAAGTGTCAGCAGGCAGTCAGTAGGTCTTCAGACAAAAATTTATTTTTTATTCTTTTTTATCCAGTGGATGGAAACGCTCTTAAATATAAACCAAGGATGGTAGCGTTATATATATATATAATATATATATATATATATATATATATATATATATATATATATATATATATATATATATTGCAAAACAACCACTCTGAAAGAATAGAGAAATTCCAAGCGCTTTCGTGACTACTCACATTATCAAGGAACTATGAAAGTAAAGCATCCAAGGAAGCTATATAAGGGGTCCGGCCAGCACCTCACTTATATTTATATATATATATATATATATATATATATATATTATATATATATATATATATATATATATATATATATTTAAAATATATTATACATATATAAATACATATATATATATATATATATATATATATATATATATATATATATATATATATATATAAAATTATATATATATATATATAATATATATATATATATATATATATAAATATTATATATAAAATATGGCACAGAAGATTTAAGAGATACATTGTTAATATAAAGGTGGCATATACGGTACACGATTATAAGGCGAAAATCTCATCCAGCTCCTCAGAGCTGGGGCGTGTGCCCAAAATGCAGCAGGCATTACCCCTTTGAACAGCCGCACTGAGCCGCTGGAACAGAAAACTAGCTGCCCTGGGATCCCTATTTACCCTGATGAGTCTTTTTCCCAGCTCCTTAAGGAAATTAGATGCACTCTTTCCCCATGAGCCAAGGGTCTCTGAGCCTATGGGAACAAACATATAATGATGGGCAAGTTCTCCATATTTTCTAGACTTTTGGGACTCCCTGATGCTGGCAGCTGCCCCTCCTTCCCTGGTGTATTGGAGATAGGTATCAGCCAAGGTAGATGCACATGTCCCCCACCACCTGCTTCCCATCTGTCCAGGCTTGAAGGGTGATACCATCTGGACGCTTCTTGCTGCCATCAGATCTGCATAGTTGGGGTGGCTCCCTCACTGCTGGGCATCCAGCTGTTGTGAGGCTCCTCTTGATAATGTTATTAACCTCCTCATGTCTTGCAATCTTTCCCTCGGATTTACGGCACACAAGACCATGGTACCCGAATCGGTCTCCCTGCTTCACTGCCACAAATACACCTGTGTTCGGCGAGAATAGGGGCGGCAAGTCGAAGGGCAACACCAATGCGGATGGTCTGGGGGGTCAAGGCGTGTGCCAAGGCTGGTGGTTGGGAACAGCCAACAGAAAGTCCCCAGCATGAGGGGCTCTCACTGCCAGGAGGCGGGCTCTATCCTTCCCTGACCCACTCTGAAGCATTGTTGAGGCAATATTTTCCACTATTGGACCTTTTCCCAGTGCGATTGTTTGTAGTTGTTGGGGGAGCAGGTTTTGGTTTCAGAGCCCGTTAGATTATCCCAGATCATTGCTCCGTCAATGAATTTTTGGTCCTGGACTCCAATCTTGTCCCTAAGATGTTAAAGGAGAATCGCTGTTACAAGCTCTCTGGATGCAATACACGAGGCCCGAAAAGCAGGTAACGCAATCTTTTGATGACTTTGCGGACCCCCAATGCCTCCTAGTCTGACTGGAAGTGTAGCTTGGTTCCACTGCCAGTCTTCTAGAGTAAGGTTAAGTACTTTCGCAAAAATCTGCCTCAGAATACTGTCATATTGTGCAGTATAGGGTTATCATATGAAGGTGCACATCTTAGGAAATATGTCAACCTGGGCAGACTCAAGACTTTGTGAGAAGGGAAAAAGGCATCGTGGATGTCCAGATTGCCTATTCGTTGTTCCATTCTCCTTAACTCTTCCCAAATTTCTTCCTGGAGAATTGTGTCAATGGCATTGCTTCCCAAAGGGTGCTCCTAGCAAGACACTATTTGTGTGGGCAATGACTGCTGCTCCTGGTAGTTTTGATCTCACTGCATTTATCACTTTCTGATGACTGAGATGATTTCACATTTGGATGGATTCAGAATGAGACCCATTTTTCCCGTCCCCGTGTCATTACCTGTGTAAAGGGCATGTAGGAGGGACTCCTTTGTACCCGCTAGTGTGCCATCATCTAGGAACAAAATGTTTAGCTCGCTGGTCAGTCTGGGCTGTGGGTTTCCCTAACTGCTATACAGAAGAGAAATGGTTTTGCAAGAGGATCTCCTTGTTGGACACCCCCCGATGATGTGATTTCATGCTCTCCAAAGAGAGGCATTGATCCTTGCTAACCCAGCTGAAACAAAGGGAAGAGACCAGGGAAATGTTCTTGTACTGCTGCTAATACCACGTTCTTTTCAGGAGATTGAACGCATTCTTGAAATCTAATTTTACCACTGCATTGTCCTCAGGCAGGTTGTTGATATACGCCCTTGTTGCATGAACCGCTGCTTCACTTCCTTGAGAGACCCCAAAGCCAAGCTGGTTTGGTTGAAGCATATGGCTGCCTGTGCACGAATACTTGGACAGCAGCTTTGGACACGAGCGGCGTAAACGTTTTTGCCTACTGCAATTGGCCATATTCCTCCAAACCTTCTTTTTAAGTGCACAAAGTGTTTCAAACCCAAAAAAAAAAAGGTCTAATTTCATAAAGGGAAACAGACAGCCAAGGAATTGTTGACGAACCTGGATCTCTGAAAGCAGTGTCTCTGCAATTTCCCCAATAACTGGATTAACCATTTACTTTAAATGCTGTGGCCTTATTCCAGTGTTAAAACCCCCCGCAGAGCCAGATGGGAGCGACATTATTGCTTTGTAAATGTCTGGTCTTCCACAATCATGGTTCCATAGTGGGGACAGAGGGTGTTGGAACTGTTGGTGCCACTGGTTTCCCTGGCAGGGTGCTTTCCTCTAAGTGCTTCAGCAGTGTTTAGCATCCCTGGGAGCAACTGTGTCGTCCTGGTAAAAAATTCTGATTGCCCCAATGTGTTGCCCTCTTCAATTTTCTTGCTCACCTGGACTCTGACTTTTTTCACTGTCAGTAGATGGTGGGGGTTCTGCCTCTCCCTTTTTTGTGTTGAGGGGAAGGCGAATGAGGTTATCAATTCTAGGAAAATCTCTTAAGGATTTAATTATCATTGAGGCTAGCTCTTTCCCCTTCTTTCCGGCACAGCTAAGCAGACATTGCCAAAAAATAGCAAGTTGTGCCATGCCTTGATGGTTGGTGGAGCATTTAAGATAGCGGAACCATCGTTTACTTTTTTCAGGAGGTTCCCGTAAGTTTCCCCGCTGCGTGTGGGACGGGGTGCTTTGGGAATATGTGTGATGTCCTCGTACCTGTTGCTTTAATTGCTTCCCCAAAAAGATTGTTGATGAGATGAAATCTGTTGGAGTGGGTTCATATAATATATATATTATATTTATATTATATTTTATATATATTATATATAAAATATATATATATATATATATATATATATATATATGGGAAAAGAGGCACAACTTGTTCTCACCGAACCAGACCTTAGACGCCGACGGTGCCTAGAAGCCTCACTAATCACCGTCACCGACACTATAGAACGTAACACTGGAAACCACAAAATTTCAAAAAAAATTAGCATACATGATACTTAAGCACCACCAACCCAACAACCCCAGGAGTCACATGATTTATCTTTTACCCGTCCTCATTTAACATGACATTCTTCAGGTCACCATGCGTCACTCACACCTCACTCTCCGCCTATATATTTAATGTCTTTCTGCCTCTGTATGTTAGAAGTGATCAAGGTCCCAGGACCGAAACGTTTTCTAATAAATATGCATAGTGTTTGTTACGTGTTTCTAACCACTTGTCGGTATTATTACCAAGGTTTACCAATATATTATATTATTATTTAAATATATATATATAAATTAATATATATATATTATAATAATATATATAATATATTATATATAATATATATTAATAATATTATATATTAAAATATATATATAATATTTATAATATATATATATATAATATGATGGTGGAAATGATGAAGTAAAGGGTGCGAAAAAAGAAAAAGGTTAGCTTACGAGAGGTTTTTACAAAGCAGAAGTGTTATAAAAAGAGCAGAGTATATGGAGAGTAAAAGAAAGATGAAGAGAGTGGTAGAGAGTGCAAAAGGAGAGCAGATGAAAGAGTGGGAGAGGCACTGTCAAAAAATTTTAATGAAAATAAGAAAAAATTTTGGAGTTAAACAAGTTAAGAAACCCTAGGGAAAGTATGGATTTGTCAGTTAAAAACAGAGTAGGGGAGTTAGTAGATGGGGAGAGGGAGGTATTAGGTAATGGCGAGAATATTTTGAGGAACTTTTTAAATGTTTAGGAAGAAAGGGAAGGCGGTAATTTTATGCACTGGCCAGGGAGGTATACCATCTTTTAGGAGTGAAGAAGAGCAGAATGTAAGTGTGGTGGAGGTACGTGAGGCATTACGTAGAATGAAAAGGGGGTAAGCAGCTTTGGAAAATGATGGGATCATGACAGAAATGTTAAAAGCAAGGGGGGGTATAGTGTTGGAGTGGTTGGTACTTTTGTTTAATAGATGTATGAAAGAGGGGAAGATACCCAGGGATTTGGAGGAGAGCATGTTTAGTCCCTTTATATAAAGGGAAAGGGGACAAAAGAGATTGTAAAAATTTTTAGAGGAATAAGTTTACTGAGTATACCAGGAAAAGTATACGGTAGGGTTTAATTGAAAGAATTAGAGGTAAGACGAGAATGTAGGATTTTCGGATGAGCAGGGAGGCTTCAGAGTGGGTAGGGGATGTGTAGATCAAGTGTTTACAGTGAAGCATAATAGTGAACAGTGTTAGATAAAGGTAGGGAAGTTTTTATTGCATTTATGGATTTAGAAAAGGCATATGATAGAGTGGATAGAGGAGCAATGTGGCAGATGTTGCAAGTATATGGAATAGGTGGTAAGTTACTAAATGCTGTAAAGAGCTTTTATGAGGATAGTGAGGCTCAGGTTAGGGTATGTAGAAGAGAGGGAGAATACTTCCAGGTAAAAAGTAGGTCTTAGACAGAGATGTGTAATGTCACCATGGTTGTTTAATATATTTATAGATGGGGTTGTAAAAGAAGTAAATGCTAGGGTGTTCGGGAGGGGTGGGATTAAATTATGGGGATCAAATTCAAAATGGGAACTGACACAGTTACTTTTTGCTGATGATACTGTGCTTATGGGAGATTCTAAAGAAAAATTGCAAAGGTTAGTGGATGAGTTTTGAGAATGTGTGTAAAGGTAGAAAGTTGAAAGCGAACATAAAAAAGAGTAAGGTGATGAGGGTATCAAGTGATTTAGATAAAGAAAAATTGGATATCAAATTGGGGAGGAGGAGTATGGAAGAAGTGAATGTTTTCAGATACTGGGAGTTGACGTGTCGCGGATGGTTTTATGAAGGATGAGGTTATCATATAATTGATGAGGGAAAAAAGGTTAGTGGTGCGTTGAGGTATATGTGGAGTCAAAAAACGTTATCTAGGGAAAGGCAAAGAAGGGAATGTATGAAAGTATAGTAGTACCAACACTCTTATATGGGTGTGAAGCTTGGGGGGTAAATGCAGCAGCGAGGAGACGGTTGGAGGCAGTGGAGATGTCCTGTCTAAGGGCAATGTGTGGTGGTAATATTATGCAGAAAATTCGGAGTGTGGAAATTAGGAGAAGGTGTGGAGTTAATAAAAGCTTAGTCAGAGGGCAGAAGAGGGGTTGTTGAGGTGGTTTGGTCATTTAGAGAGAATGGATCAAAGTAGAATGACATGGAAAGCATATAAATCTATAGGGGAAGGAAGGAGGGGTAGGGGTCGTCCTCGAAAGGGTTGGAAAGAGGGGGTAAAGGAGGTTTTTTTGGGCAAGGGGCTTGGACTTCCAGCAAGCGTGCATGAGCGTGTTAGATAGGAGTGATTGGAGACGAATGATACTTGGAAACCCGACGATCTGTTGGAGTGTGAGCAGGGTAATATTTAGTGAAGGGATTCAGGAAACCGGTTTTTTCATATAGTCGAACTTGAGTCCAGGAAATGGGAAGTACAATGCCTGCACTATAAAGGAGGGGTTTGGGATATTGGCAATTTGGAGGGATAATGTTGTGTATCTTTATACGTATATGCTTCTAAACTGTTGTATTCTGGGCACCTCTGCAAAAGCAGTGATAATGTGTGAGTGTGGTGAAAGTGTTGAATGATGATGAAAAATATTTTCTTTTCGAGGATTTACTTTCTTTTTTTTGGTCACCCTGCTCGGTGGAGACGGCCGACTTGTTGAATAATATATATATATATATATATATATATATATATAATATATATATATATATGTAAATATATATATATATTTATATATATATATATATATATATATATGTAATATATATATATATATATATATATATATATATATTATATATATATATATATATAAATATATTATATATATATATATATATATATATATATATATATATATATATGTCGTGCAGAATAGTAAAACTGGTCAATTAGCAAGAACTCATTTAAAATTAAGTCCTTTCTAAAATTTTCTCTTATACGTTTAAAGATATATTTTTTTCATTAATGTTAATGTAAATAATTTTAATTTTGCAACAAAAGAATCTTAGAAAGCTTACCTAACCTTATTATAACAAGCGCAATTTATTTTAGCCTAACCCAACTAAATATATTTTAGATTTGTTTACAGTAATTTAATATAAAAACAAACACAGTGAAATATATTTTTTTCGTTAGGTTCAGAATGATTTTGGCGAAATTATTGCATACACAAATTTTCGCTTGTCCTATATTGCAAGATGAGCGTTGCTATTTAAGCCAAGATCGCAAGTTCTGCCTATTCGGCACGATATATATATATTATATATATATATATATATATTATATATATATATATATATATATATATATATATATATATATATATATTATATATATATATATACATATATATATAATGTATATATATATATTATATATATATATATATATATATATATATATATATATTATATATATATATATAATATTATATAATATTATATATATAAATATATATATATATATAATAATACCCTTTGGATGGTAATACGCTAGTATACTGTATATCCCTTCAGTCAGTATTGCCAGAGTATATGGGCACACAATGTCCTACTATCAGGTCCTTAGAAAGGGGTTAATAAAGAGAACACTTTGACATACTGTTTTATATAGTTGGTCATGCAATATTTCATGGGTAAATTTAGGCTGTTTTTTACATTTCATGAAGAAAGTACCTTGATGTATCATTTGAGTTTAGTGCACTATCTCTATGTTTTACAATGACTAGACAATCAAACACAATGAAAAACACAAGAAACGGCACAGTTTGAACTCATTGCGATTGAATCCTAAAACTCCCGGCCAGTTTGCAATCGTGTTATTATGATTTCGTGAGTCATGAAAACACATAGTGTTGAATGAAGCGACTATTTGCTTACCGTAAATGCAGTTTTATCTCTGCCTGTATACATGCCAGACTGACAAAGGTACTTGTTGCTTCGTCAAAACCTGGTTGCTGCAAGAGTCGTCAGTCTGTTAAGGGTTTGTTAATGTTCATGTTAGCATAGTGGGTTTTTTTTTAATCACAAGTTAGTTATTTAATGGGGCTTAAAGTCTATCGACTACATTAGGGTCATTAAGGCTATCTGTCACCTGCTTACCACCAGCAAGTTTATTTTGATAATTAAAACAAGGATTAAAGTAATCTCTCGGAATACAAACAGTGTACTGGAAGGCATGTACTTCACCATGTATAAAATATACCTGGAACAGGTTGGTTGGTGGGTCAGTGGGGTTTATAGCCTAACGACCACACGAGGCAGCATTAAGGTTGGTCGTAACCTTTTCACCACCAGACAAGAATACTTTAATCCCTATGCCTCTTTGAATATAATACAGGATATACCCATACACTGTGAGGTGTGTGTCTCTCTGTGTATAAACACTCTAAGTTTACTTCACTCTTTAAGGATTAAAGTGCTCTTGACTGGTGGTGGACAGGTGACATGCAGCCAAAATGACCCATTAACCAACCAGCCATTTGAATATAAGTACTAACTCATTGTCTACGCTGCTCTGAGAACAAGTACTCTTGATAAGTTAGACACATTCTTTATTCCTAAACGTTTCGCCTACTCAGTAGGCTTCTTCAGTCAAGTACCTAGGAGTGAGCAGAGGCACTAGAGATGTAAAAACAATGTAATCAGTCCATCACCATCACCATTGAAAACGTAGTTTTGAGGTGATCAATCCTTCAGTCTGGAGAAGAGTTTTGGTCCATAGTCTGGAACAATGTGGAGTTGAAGCAACAGTACAGAGACTCATATACTACCAAAGGTGAGGCGCAGCCTACTACTAGAAGAAAGAATGTAATCATTGAGAGGGCAGGTCCCTCTCAGATCCATCCTTTCTCACTTGTAAGTAGTGTCAGGCAAAAACAGATATCGAAGATGCTTTTTGTACTAAGATATTCTTCTTCATTTACTCCTACAGGCAGTGATATTTAACAGGGAGAAGCAGTTCTGCGGAGGATCTCTCATAGATAAGACCCACATCCTGACGGCTGCTCACTGCGTTGCCCAGTAAGTATGGTGACAAACGGAGCGGGTAAAGAAGACAGAGATATTTTTTATGTATATCATTAGTAGAATATACCGACCAGTAGGTTATTGTGACACAGTATACGTTCATGGCACTTCACTGATGAGGCGTTTCGCCCATATCAATGTCGGTGGGAGTCGAATCCATGGCAGGCGAGTCCTAAAAAAAGGGCCATGGGTTCGAACTCCACCCATTCTGAGAAATGTCTACAATCGCATCACTGCGATTTCGTGAGTCAAAATACAGTCCCACTTCTCGATACAATCCCACAAACCACTTTTTACCAGAGATTGTCTTAGTTAATTAAACTGGGTGTGATAGTGTAGTTACATTACAAAAATTAAATGTTTTGTCACATATTCTCAAGATAATATACAGTTCATTAGATTAAGAAATCTCTCAGCCTCAGCTGCGATATATCCACAAAATGATAAGAACATTATTTTTGTTTTTTTTTTCAAGAAAAAAACTCGCATATAGAAGACAAAATTAATGAGGACGTTTCGGGTCGTCATGGATCATTGTCGAGTCACAAATTGTGACTCGACGTTACGCTCCAGGACGGAGCGAAACGTCGTCATAAGGTATCTCTCCCACGTTCGGGTTTTTGGTTAATAATTCCAGCCACGGTATTGTGACACTTTGTCTTCTAAGTTTTGTAGCGCCTAGATAATGAGGAGTATTCTGGGTCGATCCTTGAAAGGGAAGGATAACTCTATTTCCTTGGATCTAGAGCCTCTTATCTGCATCATACCAGTGTAACTAAGTCACACTTGAAGGTGCCCACACTCTGGGTACTTGCCCACACGCATGAGTGAATGTGCCCACACACTGGTTACGTGCCCACACACTCAACCCAAGGACACGGATCATGGTATGTTTGTCCATGACGTGAGGGGAACGTCCCAGACATGTTTGTTTTCGTTCTTCACGAATAATGTGTGTGTGTGTGCGTGTGTGTGTGTGTGTGTGTGTGTGTGTGTGTGTGTGTGTGTGTGTGTGTGTGTGTGTGTGTGTGTGTGTGTGTGTGTGTGTGTGTGTGTGCGTGTGTGTGTATGTGTGTGAACTCACTTAATTGTGGTTGCAGGGGTGGATTCATAGCTCCTGGCCCCGCCTCTTCACTGGTCGCCACTAGGACGCTCCCTCCCTGCTCTATGAGCTTTTTCATACCTCTTCTTAAAGCTATGTATGGATCCTGCTTCCACTACCTCACTGTTCAGACTATTCTACTTCCTGACAACTCTATGACTGAAAAAATACTCCCTAACATCCCTGTGACTCATCTGAGTCTTCAACTTCCAATTGTGACCCCTTGTTTCTGTGCTCCATCTTTGGAACATCCTGTCCCTGTCCACTTTGTCGATTCCTCTCAGTATTTTATATGTCGTTATATCCCCCATCCCTCCTGTCCTCCAGTGTCGTCATGTCGATTTCTCTTAACCTCTTCCCGTAGGACATACCCCTTAGCTCCGGGACCAGTCTCGTTGCAAACCTTAGCACTTTTTCTGATTTCCTGACGTGCTTCGCCAGGTGTGGGTTCCAAACTGGTGATGCATACTCCAATATGAGCCTGACGTACACGGTGTACAGAGTCCTGAACGATTCCTTACTCGGATGTCGGAATGCTACTCTTAGGTTTGCCAGGCGGCCATATGCTGCAGCAGTTATTTGTTTGATGTGTACCTCAGATGTGCCCTGTGTTATACTCACTCTAAGATCTTTTTCCTTGAGTGAAGTTTGTAGTGTTTGGTCCCTAGACTGTTCTCTGTCTGCAGGTTTCTTTGCCCTTCCCCGATCTTCATGACTTTCCACTTGGCGGGGTTGAACTTGAGGGGCCAATTTCTGTACCAGGCCTGCAGCCTGTCCAGATCCCTCTGTGTGTGTGTGTGTGTGTGTGTGGATACTTAAGTGCTCTCTCTCTCTCTCTTTAACAACACGCGCCGTTAATATGCTGCATTAGTACTTAACGTACACACAATGTACAAGATAATACATCATATAGAGGCGTTGTGCAGACATGTACAAACATGAATAGTACACATAGCACTTGTCAAGAGTTGAGAGTACTCATACATTATCTTCCTCCCACAGCATGAGTCAGATCGACATCCAGAACCTGCGAGTGAGGATTGGTGCGCACAACATCAAGGCATTTGAGAGATCGACTCAAGAGTTCAAAGTCAGTAGAGTTGTCAGGCACAAGGACTACGACTCCAAGAGATTGGTAAGTTGGTGATCGGTCGGGCATCAACGTCGGTTTTAATGGTAGAAGTTAGATAAGCCGGTGGTCGGCCGACATCATCAGTGATGACGTTACAAGTCGACGAATTTAGTTGTCGAGCTGAGGTTCTCGTCTTTTGATAAAAGTCGGTCGCTACTTGCAGGTTTCTGAAGTTCCCTATAATTCACACCTAACACAATTACCACTGTGATGGATAATGGTTTACGACCACTCGAAACATTGTCCACTGCGCTTTACTGATGAATTCTTCCAGCTACGGTTCGTGAATTACATTTTTAAGAGGGTTAGTTGTGAATTGTTCCAGCCGCGGAATTATTCTTTTTATTCTTCTTGTGGGTTACTTGTGAATTGTTCCAGCTACGGATTTTGCGATCTTTTTTGTGGGTTAGTTATGGATTGTTCCAGCCACGGTATCATTCATTTTATTGGTTTTACGGTTAACTCTGAACTTGTCTGCCGACATCATAGTGTGACTTCATTCACATAGTTCGAAGTGATTTTTTTTATAAAGTGTGCAGTGCAGGTGAAGTTTAATTCTTACTATCAATTACAGGTGTGGTACTGGTTACAGCTCGAATAACATTATGCGTTAGATGTATTCTTCAGTTACGGTGGAATACATTTAAGAGTTACTTGTAGACGATTGTCCAGCCGTAATTATCTTTTAAATCTTTTGAGGACTGTGAATTGTACAAGTACGATAATTCGATTTATTAGGGGTTATATAATTGTCACACGTATATCATAATATTAATTGAATAACTTGAATGTTAATATATAATAATTATTTTTTATAAGTAAAATATTTATATAAAATATAATAGAAATTATAAATATGTATAATAATATAATATAATAATAATAATAATTAATTAGAATAATATTATAATGAATGACAATAGCAAGAACTAATAATACATAAAATATCTTATAAATAATTAATTAATAATAATAATAATAATAATAATAATATAAATAATAATAATAATAATAATAATAATAATAATAATAATAATAATAATAATAATAACGATAACAATAAGATAGTAAAATTAATTTAATAACATACTAACTAAATTTATGAGCTAGCATTTAAATATCTAAGATACTATAAACAGCGAGAGGTGTGTATATCTCAGTGTATTTACACTGAGATATTATCTTATTCCCTATTGAGAGGCTTCAAGTATTAACGACCGATGGTGTACAGGTGACATACAGGACCCTCGAGTTGTAGATAGCCTTTAAACCCCATTAACCAACCACTGTATCTATATCTATCACATATCCTCACCGTCCAAAATATGTTGTTTAGGAGTAGATGATTAAATCTCTTTCTTAGCATACAATATCTAAATCTGTGGCACGATGTTAGATGTCTGGATGTGTTACCTAGAGAACAAAAAGGTTTTGTAAATGGTCCAATTAGGACCGAAACGTTGTCGTAAGTTCCTCTCTCCTATGTACGGGTTATTTGCGACTTGTGTTACCTCCTTCAAGTGTCTAAATCTGTTGCCTAGATTCTGATGTTAAAAATGCATGGATAAATACGTGAATTGTTAAAATAATGAATGAACAAGCGAACGACGTGAATAATAAATGAAATGGTGGATGAAATACATACGTATTGAATGAAGAGGTGAATGAAATAAATAATAAATGAGTGGTTGAAATAGAATTACTGTTAAGGAACTGGACGAACTAAATAATGAGTGAAGTATTGGATGAATGAAATGAATGAATGAACGAGTTGGTGAAACAAATAAGACTCCTAGAAATATGTCACTTTTTCTGACTATTTTTTAGTTATCCTTTGTAATTTAGACACAGGTAACTATGTATGATAATTTGTGTAACTGTATTTATGTGTACCTGTACCTAATTAAACATACATTCTTTACTTACACGTTCCCCGCAGTACAACGACGTGGCGATGCTGACCCTGGACCACCCCGCAGTGTACGACAGCAACGTACGACCCGTGTGTCTGGACCGCAGTGGGAAAGACTACGTCGGGGAGGAGGTCACCGTAGCAGGCTGGGGTAGCATGTTCGAAGGTAGAGAGACCTTAGTGATACCCCTTAAATAAGTCGTAGGCAACTATAACTTAACCTTTGACACCTCTTCATTAATCCTATACGCCTATGAACCTGTGAAGTCAATCCGCAAGATGGTGTTTGACTGAGTGACGGTAAAAGAGTTTCTTCCTTTTTTTCTGGTCACCCTGCCTCGGTGGGATGCGACCGGTGTGCTGAGAAAACTCCTAATTATTCTTAGGCATTTTTACAGTACACAAATAACCAACTAAAATTATATTTAATTCCCCTCTACCCTATTTTAACAAATCATAATTTCAGATAACTTTTCTCTAGTCAATTGTAATTCAATAATTCCTCTATTTAGCATCTATATTTTCAGCAATAAGTTCCTTTTGAATCCTTATATCTTCCCCTCCAGTCAAACACTTCGTAGCTCTAGGTAGCATTTTTAGAAGCAGCTATAACTCTAGATAACTCTAAACGCTCCATTCCAGTCATTAATAACTCTATAGAATTTCTTTCTAGAATATTATAACGCTAGGTAGCTCCTGTCTAATCAGTTACAGCTGTAAGTTCCTCTCTAGAAGGCAGTAGCTAGACAGCTCCGTGCTCTCTCTGTGTCAGGCATAACTCCAAGCTTCACAATGCAGACATTGGTCATTCTCTACAGCTGTCGATGCTCATTCCTCTCCCATGTAAGATAACTCGTTCGAATTGTATTGCTTTTCACGAAATGCAGAGCCCAAGTGGGTCATTCCCAGCAGTAGTGGCCGAAGATCGATCCTCCGCCCATTAATTGCTGCTCGATAAATAACCAATGTTGAGACCTCTTAAAGAGCAGAGTCTCGCCCATACAGGAGGACCACAGCCCTCGACGCTCTATAAAGTGAAGCTGACGGTGGTTAGCAACGAGGAGTGCAGAAGAATGTATGGAAGAGCAGCCCCGGGTGGCATCATCGAATCCTACCTCTGTGCTGGGACCTTTGGCAAGGATTCCTGTCAGGTTGGTAGTGGTAACGTTACCTATGTATTTCTTTTTATCGCAGAGAGTTCATTGTTATTATATTTGCATGTGAATGCTAAACAGCTAATGACCATACAGCACCTGTGGCATGGAATTTTTTGCGTTCGAAAACAGATAAAAATGTACTGTCCAGACATAGACAATATATACGCTGTAAGTAGTTCTCATCTATTTTGTATGGCTAGTTATCGACCCATAGCCACCCAAAATACCCATAACTCAACATATGAGGGAGGTTGCTTTTCATGTTCCTCTATGTAGGAGAAATTTCTAACAGAAGTCAGGCACAACAAATAATGACTTTTGTTGACATGAGTGTTCCTTGGCAGGGTGACAGTGGCGGGCCTCTGGTGAAGTTCGTAGATGGCCTGTGGAAGCAGGTTGGACTAGTGTCTTGGGGCATCGGTTGTGGCAAGGGTCACTACCCCGGTGTTTACAGCAGGATCAACTCCTTCATCTCATGGATCGACCGGGTACGAGCGAACTACTGAATAAGAGGAGCAGAAGCAAGAAACAGAAGAAAGGTTGTCTCCTTTACATCCTTGTTGTCTTAGTCGTTCCCTGTCCTGGGTACCACAGACACACACACAACTTTCTCCTCCTCCTTCTTCTCTTTCTCCTCCTTCTTCCATGAAAATAGTAGCTACCTGAGGCTGGCAGCGCCCTTTGCCAGTGCGAAAAGGTGTTCCTTACGAATTTACTCGTGATCTGGCATGGGTAATGTTTACAAATCATACAGATGAGGGTCACGTTTAAAGACGGAAATGTACAGCCCTTCTAAACTGTTTTATTTTTCTCTCACCAAGTGAGTTTTTTATTACACTGTAATACATGTGTAATGACTTTAATAATTTAGTACTGTTCTGCAAGAAAGCAAATAAGCATTATTGGTTATGCAGTATACCCAATTTAATCCAATTAAATAACCTGAGAATCATTAATGATTTGATCATCAGCAAACTTCAGTGGTGATATTGCTGGATAAATTTGCGTGGGACAGTTTGCATGGCAACAATTCATAAGCAGATAATAACAAATGCGAGATAAAACTTTAGACTACGTTTCAGTCTGTCTTGGACGATAATTAAGTCTGACATGACACTGCATGACTGATCACAACGTTATCTGAAGTGTCGACTATGATCGGGGAGTTGTAAACATTGGTCTTCTTACAGACCTCAGACCATTACTATGTGCAAATATTAGAGCCTCTGACGAAAATGTTTATGATATATTTCACATTAGAAGGAATTTGGGTTTTGAATGTACTGTAGAGGGGTAAAAAGTAATGAATTAAAATGAGAAACATAGCACCAAAATGACGTAGATCACAATAAGAGCAATTTCACAATCAGAGCACAGCACTGTAAATTGAGTTGCTCTATATACCTTCTAATTACATTGTGTTATATATATATATCTATATATATCTATCTATCTATATATATATATATATTATATATATATATTTTATATATATATATATATATATATATATATATATTATATATATATATATATATATATAAAATACATTTATATGCGTAATTATGAACGAAAGAGTTCCTGGTATTATCTCATGATTTTAGATCTCCTATATTATCAAAATTTTTTTCTCTCTTATCAAGCATAAGGTATTATGTAATAACTTAATATAGACGTAGTTTCTTCTTCTCTTAAGATAGTAATTTTTGCTGTATATTATTCTCTCACTGAAATAAGTCTCTTTGTTTAATGTTTTCTTTACTTGTACCTAAATCTCCCTCAGGACACGTGTTGAACCTTATCTATGGTTTTCTATATATATATTATTTATTATAATATATATATTTTTTATATTTATTATCACCGGCCGATTCCCACCAAGGCAGGGTGGCCCGAAAAAGAAAAACTTTCACCATCATTCACTCCATCACTGTCTTGCCAGAAGGGTGCTTTACACTACAGTTTTTAAAACTGCAACATTAACACCCCTCCTTCAGAGTGCAGGCACTGTACTTCCCATCTCCAGAACTCAAGTCGGCCTGCCGGTTTCCCTGAATCCCTTCATAAATGTTACTTTGCTCACACTCCAACAGCACGTCAAGTATTAAAAACCATTTGTCTCCATTCACTCCTATCAAACACGCTCACGCATGCCTGCTGGAAGTCCAAGCCCCTCGCACACAAAACCTCCTTTACCCCCTCCCTCCAACCCTTCCTAGGCCGACCCTACCCCGCCTTCCTTCCACTACAGACTGATACACTCTTGAAGTCTTCTGTTTCGCTCCATTCTCTCTACATGTCCGAACCACCTCAAAACCCTTCCTCAGCCCTCTGGACAACAGTTTTGGTAATCCCGCACCTCCTCCTAACTTCCAAACTACGAATTCTCTGCATTATATTCACACACACATTGCCCTCAGACATGACATCTCCACTGCCTCCAGCCTTCTCCTCGCTGCAACATTCATCACCCACGCTTCACACCCATATAAGAGCGTTGGTAAAACTATACTCTCATACATTCCCCTCTTTGCCTCCAAGGACAAAGTTCTTTGTCTCCACAGACTCCTAAGTGCACCACTCACTCTTTTTCCCTCATCAATTCTATGATTCACCTCATCTTTCATAGACCCATCCGCTGACACGTCCACTCCCAAATATCTGAATACGTTCACCTCCTCCATACTCTCTCCCTCCAATCTGATATTCAATCTTTCATCACCTAATCTTTTTGTTATCCTCATAACCTTACTCTTTCCTGTATTCACCTTTAATTTTCTTCTTTTGCACACCCTACCAAATTCATCCACCAATCTCTGCAACTTCTCTTCAGAATCTCCCAAGAGCACAGTGTCATCAGCAAAGAGCAGCTGTGACAACTCCCACTTTGTGTGTGATTCTTTATCTTTTAACTCCACGCCTCTTGCCAAGACCCTCGCATTTACTTCTCTTACAACCCCATCTATAAATATATAAACAACACGGTGACATCACACATCCTTGTCTAAGGCCTACTTTTACTGGGAAAAAAATTTCCCTCTTTCCTACATACTCTAACTTGAGCCTCACTATCCTCGTAAAAACTCTTCACTGCTTTCAGTAACCTACCTCCTACACCATACACTTGCAACATCTGCCACATTGCCCCCCCTATCCACCCTGTCATACGCCTTTTCCAAATCCATAAATGCCACAAAGACCTCTTTAGCCTTATCTAAATACTGTTCACTTATATGTTTTCACTGTAAACACCTGGTCCACACACCCCCTACCTTTCCTAAAGCCTCCTTGCTCATCTGCTATCCTATTCTCCGTCTTACTCTTAATTCTTTCAATATAACTCTACCATACACTTTACCAGGTACACTCAACAGACTTATCCCCCTATAATTTTTGCACTCTCTTTTATCCCCTTTGCCTTTATACAAAGGAACTATGCATGCTCTCTGCCAATCCCTAGGTACCTTACCCTCTTCCATACATTTATTAAATAATTGCACCAACCACTCCAAAACTATATCCCCACCTGCTTTTAACATTTCTATCTTTATCCCATCAATCCCGGCTGCCTTACCCCCTTTCATTTTACCTACTGCCTCACGAACTTCCCCCACACTCACAACTGGCTCTTCCTCACTCCTACAAGATGTTATTCCTCTTGCCCTATACACGAAATCACAGCTTCCCTATCTTCATCAACATTTAACACATTCCTCAAAATATTCCTTCCATCTTCCCAATACCTCTAAACTCTCCATTTAATAACTCTCCTCTCCTATTTTTAACTGACAAATCAATTTGTTCTCTAGGCTTTCTTAACTTGTTAATCTCACTCCAAAACTTTTTCTTATTTTCAACAAATTTGTTGATAACATCTCACCCACTCTCTCATTTGCTCTCTTTTTACATTGCTTCACCACTCTCTTAACCTCTCTCTTTTTCTCCATATACTCTTCCCTCCTTGCATCACTTCTACTTTGTAAAAACTTCTCATATGCTAACTTTTTCTCCCTTACTACTCTCTTTACATCATCATTCCACCAATCGCTCCTCTTCCCTCCTGCACCCACTTTCCTGTAACCACAAACTTCTGCTGAACACTCTAACACTACATTTTTAAACCTACCCCATACCTCTTCGACCCCCATTGCCTATGCTCTCATTAGCCCATCTATCCTCCAATATTATATATATTATATATATATATATATATTATATATATATATATATATATATATATATATATGTATATATATATATATATATATATATATATATATATATATATTATATATATATATATAATTATTATTATATATATATATATAATATATTATATATATATATATATATATATATTATATATGCAAAACAACCACTCTGAAAAAATAGAGAAATTCCAAGCGCTTTCGTGACTACTCACATTATCAAGGAACTATGAAAGTAAAGCATACAAGGAAGCTATATAAGGGGTCTGGCCAGCACCTCACTATCAGATCCCACAACGGTTAAACACCTGACGCGCGCCGACCCAACTTGGATAGGTCCTTTGCACAACTCACCCCACAAACTATTCTACCCAAGAAAATTTAAAAAATTATTTGTCCAGTGTATTATTAAATTCTTCCCAAATTCTATTAATTATAAATGGATCTAATTTATATAAACCAAAGGAAATATTCATATTATTGTCAAAACTGCTTTTTTATGAAACAAGATTCAATTATATTCCTCTCGACCATGGACTTGCTTGATACTACTTTCTCAACTTTTTGAAAATCAATTGGATAGTTAAAATCTCTTACATGAATAAATAGAGCATTGGAATCTTGTCCAGTTCTAATGCTATATTTATGTTGTTTTAATCTTAGTTCGAGATTTTTACCAGTTTGACCGTAATAAACTTCATCGCAAATTTTACAAAACAGACAGTTTGACTCTATCTTGATGCGAGGAATAATAGTGGACATAGGAACAGTTATTTGTAGGTTTTCTGTAAATTTTAAATTTGAATTCATTATTACCCTTAATAATTAAAACATCTAGAAAAGGCAATGAGTTATTTTCTTCAAACTCAACAGTAAAGTTTATAGAATGGGCTAAGCTATTTACTCTTGAGTTTGAAGAAAATAACTCATTGCCTTTTCTAGATGTTTTAATTATTAAGGGTAATAATGAATTCAAATTTAAAATTTACAGAAAACCTACAAATAACTGTTCCTATGTCCACTATTATTCCTCGCATCAAGATAGAGTCAAACTGTCTGTTTTCTCATCAATGTTTTCGAGAGCTTTACGAATTTGTAGTCCTGAGTTCATAGATGAGGAAATATCCAAAATTTATGAAATAGGTAATGATTTAAAATACCCAAGAAATGTAATTGATAAATCTTTTAAAGTTGCTAGAAATACTTTTTACAATCCAAAAAGGGACAACCAGCCTTATTCAACTAAAACTATGTTGGTTCTCCCTTACCATGAAAACTTGGTTGATATGCCTTCTCTTCTTAAGACTTTTAAATATTAAAGTTGTATTCAAAAATCTTGATACAGTAAAAAAACTTTTGATAAAGAATTCCCCCCAAAATGCTGATGGATGTGTCTATAAGATTCCTTGTAAAATTTGCGATAAAGTTTATTACGGTCAAACTGGTAAAAATCTCGAACTAAGATTAAAACAACATAAATATAGCATTAGAACTGGACAAGATTCCAATGCTCTATTTATTCATGTAAGAGATTTTAACCATCCAATTGATTTTCAAAAAGTTGAGAAAGTAGTATCAAGCAAGTCCATGGTCGAGAGGAATATAATTGAATCTTGTTTCATAAAAAGCAGTTTTGACAATAATATGAATATTTCCTTTGGTTTATATAAATTAGATCCATTTATAATTAATAGAATTTGGGAAGAATTTAATAATACACTGGACAAATAATTTTTAAATTTTCTTGGGTAGAATAGTTTGTGGGGTGAGTTGTGCAAAGGACCTATCCAAGTTGGGTCGGCGCGCGTCAGGTGTTTAACCGTTGTGGGATCTGATAGTGAGGTGCTGGCCTGACCCCTTATATAGCTTCCTTGTATGCTTTACTTTCATAGTTCCTTGATAATGTGAGTAGTCACGAAAGCGCTTGGAATTTCTCTATTTTTCAGAGTGGTTGTTTTGCATATTCCGAAATCACCTGTTTACTGTGATCTTATTGCATATATAATATATATATATATATATATATATATATATATATATATATATATATATATATATATATATCGTTTACCTCTCGGGACCTTAGGTCGATAGCTGACATAATTTGTGCTAGATACATAGGGAAATCAATCAAAGAAATATAAAGAAACTTGGTTTGCAAAATCCTAGAATTCTCTGGTTCAAAAAAAAAAACAGTTAGGAGTTT